CTTAAAAAAAAAATCTTTACACTAAAACAGAAAGAAACAAAAACAATTTAATTTACGATTTTATTTTTTCAAATTCGAGTTTACAATTTTTCTTTCTAAAATTAGGGTTTTTGCGCTATGAAAATTCATTCACCAGTTAGTTGAGATTGGGCAAATCATTTTTGTTACCATTAGAAGTTATGTTATATAAACTACAAAAATTTATAGGATATCACAATTGATTATTTTTTTTCGAGTGTTCAAGTTTTGAATCAAAATATAGTTAAATAATGATTAATTAAATGTAATTTATATTATATTTTAATATATATATATATATATATATATATATATATTAACTATTAGTAAATCTTATTTAGTTTGTCCAATAAAAATATTTTGATGTGGAAATTCATGTACTTTTCGTAGTATTATAAGATTTGGTTTGGTTTCACGGTAGTAAATTTGTGTGATCTAACTGAATAAACTATTATTAATATAAACTCATATTTGGTTCGATATAAGAATTTACATATAATTCGTAACAAAATCTGTTTGGTTTCATATTGATGATTTTTTGTAACACAACCGAATAAACTTCAGTAATTAACTTTTTATATCATGGCTTCAAAAATTTCATTCTAGAAAAGATTGTAAACTAGAATCTTAGAAGAAAAACCCTAAATCAAATTGTTTATATTTATTTATGTTTTAATATTACGATTTGTTTGAATTTAAATTAAAGTTATTGATACTAGGATTTATTTTATCACTTATGAAAAGGTGAGGATTTAATAAAGGGAAAAATGTCAAAAAAATCATGAACTTTCAAATTTGGGATGATTTAATCTTGGACTACGATGAAGACATTTAAATTGTAAAGTCAACAAAAACTTTATGATTTAAATGTCTTCATCGTAGTCCAAGATTAAATCGTCCAAATTTGAAAGTTCATGATTTTTTTAACATTTTTCCCGTTTAATAAACCACAAAAAAAGTTTAGGGTTTTTTATATGTTTTTAAGAAAGCTAAGGGTTTTTCTACCCATTTTTCCAACTTTATAGGTTTGTAAACATCTTGCTTTATGCTCAACAGCTCAAGTGGAGTATTGATAATCTTTATTGGTCTATAAAGCCAAAATTAATTCTATATTATAGAGATGAGTTACTGTTGGAGTATTGATATTCAAAGGTGAATGTGGGTTTTGGCTTCTTACAACTTCACCAATCTATATATATACTTGTTGAAGAACCCACATGAAATGACCCTTTCTTAAAGGTTATCTTGGACCTGAGGGGTAATCGTTTTCGATAAGGGAATTGGAATAGGGGATGAGCCATTCAGTGCCAGCATGAGGATAGGCTTGATAATTAAAATCATGTATTGGCATCTCCTCCTTTTGCCATTCTTCCCATCTCTCAGCTAAACCATCTCCTTCCAGCATTCTCACCACTTCTGACATCTTTGGACGTTCCATTGCAGAACTTTGAGTGCAGAGCAGAGCCATTTGAATCAGCTGCTCCACTTCTGCTTCCACGTACTTTCCTTCAAGCTCTGCGTCTACAAGGCTTTCCAGCTTCTTCTCTTTCAACACTTCTTTCACCTAATAACACCCACAAAAGAAAATACTAGTCTTCATTGCAAAATGTGGACTCAAAAAGATGATTGGGAACCATTTAAAAAACATACCCAGTCGAGTAACATGATATCATCATCATTTGCAAGCCGAGCAAGATCAAAAGCTTTCTGTCCAGTGATGAGCTCGAGAAGCATGACCCCATACCCAAAAACATCAGTTTTCTCAGAAGATTTTCCTGTCGAAAGATACTCAGGGGCTATATGGCCAATTGTACCACGTACAGCAGTTGTCACATGGGAGTCGTTATAATTCATTAATTTTGCGAGCCCAAAATCTCCAACAACAGCTTCAAACTCTTCATCTAACAATATATTTGCAGCTTTCACGTCCCGGTGAATGATTTTCTGGTCACAATGATCATGTAAATACGCGAGCCCTCTTGCTGATCCCAGAGCAATATGCTTTCTTTTTGGCCAATCAAGTGGTGGATTGCCTTCAGGACGCTCTAAACAGGAAAAATCAAAGATAAGATACTTTACCAACTGACCAATTAAAAACCATTCAAAACAAAACTATATTAGGATCAATGTCTTAAACCCCTGCCTTTGGTATGCAACATGCAATCGAAGGAACAATCAAAGAATCTGGAAGAACAAAGAATGAGGTACCTCTTAAACACGAAGCAACACTTCCATTAGCCATGTAGGGATAAACAAGTAATCTTTCAGTTGGAGTCATGCAAAAGCCACGAAGCCGAAGCAAGTTCCTATGAACGGCCATACTGATCATCTCAACCTCGGTTTGAAACTGCAGTTCCCCACCCTTGGTACGTTCTTCTTTTAGCCTTTTCACAGCCACTAGATTGCCATCGGCTAAACGTCCTTTATACACTTTACCGAAACCCCCTCTACCCAATATATTTTTATTGCTAAAGTTATCCGTAGCAACTAACAGTTCACGCAAGGTAAACCTTTTGAGTTGTCCTAAATGAACCTCTGGGTCTTCTTCAGCTGCAGAATTTGGTACACCAAAACAGATAAATCAGCCAAAGAAGCTTCAATGGGAAAATAGATGAGGAGAGTTGACTAACCAGGTACATCAAAAAAGTGGTCCTGTGGTTTTGTTCTGAGCCACCAAGCAAACGCAATGGCTGGAACAGCAAATAGAAGTGCTGCACCTGCAGCAACTCCCCCTGCTATTGCTGCAGTCATTTGACTCCCTAATAGTATGAGATAAACACAAAGTTTTATTAATACAGAGAACTCATCCGCAGAGATTTAGTGAAGAGTTTCTAGGGGAAAATCGTTAATTGATCAACTAAGTGGAACGTTTGAGCAAATGTGAAAGAGCTAATACATTTTTCAGATCAAAGAGCTTCAAAAGTGTCAAATAGATCTTTGTGTCCCACGTTGCCCATAAATTTTCCATAAACACTGTGTCCATTAACCCTTTTTTTATACTTCAGCATTTTAGCAAGTTCACACCTTTTTCATAATTTAATTTCCCTTTTCAGCAATGTCCATGAATTTCTGTTTCTACTAAGTCAAGCTGCTAGGTTTAAATGTCATACGTGTCATCTTCAACACCAATCAATGTAAAATGATAAACTCTAGTAAGAAGTCAGCTTTTTTTCATAGGTTATCAATCCTAGTAAAGTCATGTAAAATATATATAACGAAATATTACATTAAAAAATAAAACCATGAAACATTCAACCAAATATATATCCACTAAATGCCTTTCCATATTCGAATGTGCAACCATATATAAAAAATTATATAGTGGTTTAAGATCATACACTGTAGATAAGATTTCAAAAAGTAGATTTGTGCCAACCAAAATGGTACTCATAAATGTGTGAGTGGATGCGAAGGGAGATATTATGTTAAGCTAAATGTGGAAATGCCATTTACCAGCACCCAACCATTAAATATAAGAATGTAGAGGAAGTTGGACACTGAAGAATGTAAATAACCGACAAGAAACACAGAAGAAAATGAAAACCTGAAGGTGGTGGTGGCGTAGGAGAAGTGGAAGTAGGCGGAGGTTCAGCAGGCGCCGTTAAGTTATTATTCATAAAACTGCAGATAACTTCCAAATAATTAGTAATGCATCCTGACCACTCCATCAAGAATAAAGCTAGGAAAAAGAAGGAAAACCTAATAGGAGTGAAGAGCGAAAAGGAACCATTAACAGGAATATCTCCACTGAGCCGATTGTTTGAGATATCCCTGCATTTTAGGATGAAACCATTTGTCAGAGCTCAAGATTGCACCAAAAAATATTAAAAAAAATTACAGGAGAGACAAAGTTACACTCACAGAACTTGCAGCTGCACAGCAGTCAAAGTCATTGGAATTTCTCCTGATAAGCTATTGTTATTAAGACGCCTAACAACATAAAGTAGAATGTCAAACATTGAAAATAACCACTAAAGGAATTCAAAATGACTTAAACATCCAGCAAAATACGATTTATCTATAAAAACTAATAAGAAAAGAAATTAGAGCTGATGTAAAATCTTATCCAACTGCATAGACCTTTTAAGGAAATGACTGAATTTGTTTATTAAATTTGTACACTTAGCCTCTAACTACTTCTGAAACATTCACGCTACACATGTACACTGAATTTTTTGATGATAGGCGATTTGCCGGTCTTTCTTTCGATAGGACCCTGCCTCGGGTTCTGTCCAAACCTACGGCAGGTTATTATCAAATGTCTCCTTACAGGCACGAAGTAAATTTATCAATTCAATAGCTTCCACTGAGGATCACAATGTGGCAGAGGAGTATGAGGTGTATGTTCACAAGTCAATCAGGGTGAATTCTATATGTGGTGTGATATCATATATTCAATGGGTAATCTTTTACTAAAAGAATTCGAAATTCTTCTACTTGACTAAATGTGGGGTAGCAAAATAAGGCTGCCTGTAACAACCCTCTCCCTGAAATAATTACACTAGACCGTGACCTTCATTAAGGTCTGGAATGTTAGACGCAATAATTTTTTAGAAAATAAATACAACAAAACTTTGAAACTGTAAACAATGAAGCTGCATTTTGAAGCGGTAAAGAGAAGAAGGAGAGTATGGTACATACAAGAACCGGAGTTTTCCTAGTTTGCCAAGAGACGAAGGGATGGGACCACTTATGCTGTTCGCGTAAAGATCCAAGCTTACTAGTTCCATCAAGTTGCCAAGCTCCTCAGGTATCTCCCCAGTAATGTTATTGCTATAAAGCTCCCTGTCATTAAGCTTTGCTTAATTATTATTGTAGACTGGAAAATCTCTAAACTATTTTACCAGAAGTTCATGTTACAGAAAACATAATGAAGTATGTAGCAAACAAGATACCCAGTAATTATGAAGAACTATACTAATCGTAGAGGGCTAAGATACATGAAAGTAGAAACTATTTTTGTAAGCAATTCAGATTGATTTATTTTCAAGAAAACATTTCGCTGCAGGAACACAAATATGCAGAGTTGAGATCACCTGTAGAGAAATACCAGATCCAAACTCTCCAGTTACATATTTTTTTAATAGACTTTAAGGAGAACATTTGACATAGAGAATTCGAAAAAGAAAATGTCTTTCATAATGCCATGGTTCTAGGTCCCTATCTATTCAAACTGACAGATGATTATGAAGGATTCCAGTAACAAGGCTCGAGAAGCCTATCTTAAGAGATCTAAAATGGCATCGATTAGCGATTACCAAAGATATCAAAAAAAAATCTAGAAAGTATCTAAATGACCCTTAAGGCTCTCCAAACGGAAGTAATGTGAAGATTCAGGAAGTCTATCTTATGCCACAGTCATTAAACAAGCAAGATGAAGCATATGCATAACAAATTCAAATCCATCCTAAACACATAAGTAGAATATAAGATGAAAAACAAAAACAGAAAACCTGTAGAATCAATCGACATTGAGGAAGAGATGGCTTACAAGTACTGCAAGTTAGAAAGCTGACCAAGTTCTGGAACCAGTTTTCCAGATAGTTTTGCATTCCCAAGGTCACTAAGCAAACATCAAACAGTAGATTCCCAAAGGGATTATTGAATCATTCATATAGAAAAACCAGTAGCAGAGAGAGAGAAACATAACATACACACGAGTAACTTTATTCTCAGGATTGCAAGTAACATGAAACCATGTACATGGAGTAACAAGAGTAGCATCCCAGCTTTGGAGTACATTGTTTGCTGGGTCACCTGATGATAAACTGTTTCTCAGCTGAGTTAAAGCATCACCTGTTTGTATTACAATCAAAACAACAAACAAACAAACAAAAAGTTACCAACTTTCGAATCTAACAATCACCAAAAAGGAAAAAGGAAGGGACTTTTCATGAGAGAAGCAGAAAAAGGAAGAACCTTCGACGTTTGCGGCGACTCTGAGAGTAAAATTGAAGAGTATGAGAAGGTAAAGGAAGCAAAGGAGTGATCTTTGTTCCATTTTTGAACAAGTCATCAGAGTAAAAGCAAAGCCATTATTATTAGAGGTTTATTAAACCCAGGGACCGACCATTTGGTTGATTCAGCCGTTGACGAAGACAAACGAAATAAAGAGATAAAGGTTTGTTCTTTGTAACGCGTATTCGACATTTGACCAAGTTTCGAAAGAAACCAAAATCGAATTCTCGACGAAACCCCAAAAAAAAGTCGGGACTTTTCGGATTGATGAATCGTGGACCCCATTTTAGCCAAAGAAGAAGAAGACTTGGAACAGAGTAAACACTGATGGCGAGAGGCATCATATATAATCAAGCATCTCCTGCTTAGACCATGAGTAGTGGCAAATGTGTTTGTGTGGGTGTAAGTATTTTTTTAGTATTATAATTTAAAGCAAAAGAGAAAAGAAAAAGAGAAAGAAAGAGAGATAGAGAAAAAATGTGTTACATCCGAGTGTAAACTTGCACCCGGATGTGAAGAGAGAGACAATTTTTTCGTTTTTTTAATACTTACACCCTAAGACTCACATCCACCTGCTTGTACTACTGCTGATGCTCTTAAGCTGCTTCTGCTTATTTTAAGCCGTGTAAGAAATGAGCAAAAAAAAAGGAACTATTATTGAGATAGCTAACAATGATCACTAATAGTAGTGACATAAAAAGAAATTCTGACATGTTATAAAAGAGAAAAAAAATTGAAACATTTTTTGTATAGATTTTTGAATAACTTAAATTTATGTAGTGATGGAATTAATGTAGAGTAAAGCTAACTTAGATTCTTTCTTCTTTTACCTTGTTATAAAGGAAGGCTAGATTCTTAGACACAACACAAAACAACTTAAGAACATGGAAGGGAGGATTTACTATAATTGTTATTTTTAGATACGACGATCCAAGGGTCGCGAGCTTGCTGCCAATGTGGTTGTACTGGCGGAATGTGTCCACATAGAGTTTTTTTTGTTATTGAGATAAGGGATTCGAGGCAGAGCCAGAAGAACCGGCGGTATATTGGGAAGAGAAAGGGATTAGGACCGAAACTATCGTTGAGTTGGTAGTGTAAAGACGGAAGACAATAGTCAAGAAACATCAATGCTTGAACTACTTAAAACTATAAGGGAACTAACTAGTAACCGTATTGACTATTTAAACATCCAAATAACATATTATGGTCTTGATTAATGGTATTTATGTGAGTACACCCAACTCTTTTTACTCCCATTTTTTACTAGTTAACTCATGGCAGATTATAAGGTTTTATGAATACGGATAAAAATAGTTTCTTTGCTAAGAAAAATATGCATACACAGATACAGTCATACAGATATGAGTTTGTGTGTGTAAATGGCTTAGGTCCTCGGTTTATATAAACAACTTTTTTTTTTACTTTTATGTTTTTTTTTTATTTTGGTGTTAAAGGTACCTGAAACACTGTCACCATATAGATCCAACTCATTCATAATGTAGCTAAAGCATGTGCTTTAGACCATATTTTATATACTAAACATATGGGTCACATTATCAATAATTTTAGTCAGTTAAGATTGTTATGTACATTGTGCACATGTCCTTTGTCGTTTTTTCATATGAAACAGTCAAAGTTACTGTTTTTTCTTTCTTAATAGTTTTTTTCGGGTAGATATCTTTTCGAGTTTAAAAATGGTATAAGAACATTTGCATCGGTTACTTTTTAGCGGGTATCTAAAATATTAAAAAATAAAAAGTTATTTACAAGGACGAAAGATAATAGAAATCGGTTCATAGTTGAGAAACGATAGTATACGCATTAGATATACTCTCTTGCTATGTGTCATCTTTTAAGTGATTTATTTTATTTTAAAAGAAAAAAATCAATTCTTTGTTTAATTAATATTAAAATAATAATATTTTGCTAAAAGATCTTCCCAACATATGAAGATGCTCTAAGTTGCCAAAATAGACTTAGAAACCCACATACTTTGGCTCCGAATGAAAAAAAGCGTATCGGGCGGAGCGGATCAAGCGTACCAAGCGGATAGATTGGAACAAGTGCGGATCAAGCGTATCTGCCTAACTGGCGGAACAAGTGCGGATCAAGCGGATCTGGCAGTCCAAAAAAATGTTTGAATGGTGAAAGCGGTTCAAGTCGTGCGGTTTAAATATTTACATAACAAAAAATATTAATTTTAGATAAAATATTTTCAAAAGTTATATAAATTAATATTAAATTAAAATATATTAATTTACAGAATATTATACACATTATAATAATTATATTAAATAAAAAAGAACTATATTATTTTGCATTTTTGAATATTTATTTTTTCAATTCATTGTAAAAATATTTACATGATTTTGGTATCACTAACATATCTTAGTATTTTAGATACAAAATATTAACACAAAATTCTAACAAGTATAACAAATAAATTTTCTTCTAAACAATTATCTAATTTGTCATTAGATATATATTTTAAAATCAATAAAGATATTTAATTTAGAAATTTTGATTTAAAAATACTATATATATATATATATATATACTTATGGTTATAAATATATCTGTATAAATATAAAATGAGTAGATTTGAATTGAGATATAAATTAATCAATGTAAATATTATGAATTAGTTCAAAAATTATGATATTGAAAAATATTAAAAAATGCTAGGAAGTAGGAACACATCACAACACAGCAAATAACCAGTTTACTGTACAAAGCAGATCACATATTTTCTTCATAAAACCTCGTCCACTTTTAATGTGGTGTTCCAAGTTAATTTTTACTTATTGGCTGTGAATGGGAAGACGTGAAAAAGGCAGTTCTCTGACGGTTCGGATCAACCGTAAGTTTGTCAACCATTCATCACTTTTAACTTAAAGTGAAGTGCGTTTCTTCTTTTAATATTAAAAAATTTATGATCCACTAGTGGTTCATTTGTATGAGAAAAAATTGAGATCCACCGTGAACAGTAAAAACGCCTCAATTATCTGGTGTTCCTCTTAAACAATAGCGGTTCTCTTGTTCTTTTTTTTTTTTAATCTCTATTAGTTTTATAAAATTTTAATTTAAATAATAATAAACCATATACGGTTCTTTTTAAAGAAGGAAAATAACGAACATTGAGCAAATAATCATATACAGTATATTATGTATCAGTTTTATATATTATCGTTTCTAGGTTTTTTTATTATTTTTGGGACAATTTTCTCGATCCGACCCATACTAGTCTAAAATTTACATCTCATACATATATATTAAAATAATCATCTATTTTAATTTAATATCAATAGTTTAATATATTTAATTTGCATGAATATTTTATAATATATTGGTATTTTTTACTATGTAAATATTTGATCCGCACTTTTTGATCCGTTTTCACCATTCAAACATTTTTTGGACCGCCGGAATAGCTTGATCCGCACTTGTTCCGCCAGAACCGCTTGATCTGTATTTGTTCCGCTCGATTCGCTTGGACCGCTTGATCCGCTCCGCTATATCCGCTTTCTCCATTCGGAGCCATTATTTTTTGGAAAGTGCCTTGCTTTCTCTCATACGTGTGAAAGGCAAAATATTTGCGTTACGTCCGCTCCGCCTATGAATCGCTTTTGAACCGATTCTCCATTCAAGCCCTTTTTTTATTTTGATTATATACATATTAGATACTCTCTTGCCATGGGTCATCTTTTAAGTGATTTATTTTAGGAAATTTGGTCAACTCTACCACATTTGACCAAAACCTTTCCACTTCTACCACATTTGATAATCATTTTCCAGTCATACCACTTTCATGTGGTATTGTGGTATAAAAAGACGGTTTTGCCCTCAGCTGATGTGGCAGATAAAGTGCAACATTTAGGAACAAGTATCTAGGGGACAATAAACCTATTCGGGACAATAACCAAACGAAATATAAACATCAAACAAAATGAAAAGACCGCAATTAGAATTTAGAAGAACTAAAATCGAAAAACAATGAATTAAAATCAAGGGACAAAAACCAGCTAACATGCAAAATAAGATGAAATTGTGGAAGACTCAAACTTCGAGGACAACTGTATGTAAAGTTTTTTTTTCTGTGCTCAAACAATGAATTTTGTCCCCGAAGTTTGAGCACACAAAAAGAAGGGCAAAATGGTCATTATACACGGCAATTGTGATATGAGTGATAAATGGGCCTGCAATGTGGTAGAAGGAAAAAAAATTGGGCCAAATGTTATAGATGTTAATTTTCATTTTATTTTATTTTTAAAATAAAAATTTAATTATTTGTTTAATTAATACTCCCTCCGTCCCACAAATATGGATTTCTTAGAAAAAAAAAGTGTCCCACAAAGATAGAAGTTTTATGTTTCCAATGTCAAATTTGAAACAGTTTACCTATTTTACTTTTATTAAACAACAATAAAAAATATACTCTTTAAAATGTGTTAAAAATTTAAAAAGTTAAAATTTTCATTATACATTATTTTTTAAAGAATGTGAAATTTCTAAAAAATCTATCTTTGTGGGACGGAGAGAGTTTTAAAATGGGAAAAATGTCAAAAAATGCGCCAACTTTCAAATTTGGGACGATTAAAGCATGAACTCTCGAAATATCTCTTTAATCATAAAGTTTTTGTTGACCTGTCTGAAAATAGCTAAGTTTTCGTTGACCTGGCCAAATTAGGCATCGCGTTAAGTCTCCGTTAGAACGACGCTAACGCTGTTAACAATCCGTTAGAAGTCTTCGTTGGATCAAAACGATGTCGTTTTGAAGTTTTCAAACGATGTCGTTTCACCAGAAAATAAGAAAGAAAATTGGCGTCTTCAAAAACTTGAACTGCTGACATGTTGCCCAAATAAGAGACACTCAACCATTGAGCTACGGGAATATTTTAATGTTTTAACAAACAGAACGTGTATATATACTAAAAACTGGCAACATAAATTAGGTAAAAATATATGAAACTAATTTTAAATAACAAAATTAAAATTAAATTAATAACCAAACATATAAAAATATTAAATATACTTACCTTAAATATATATTTCGAAATTAAAAATATTTAATTATATATATAAAGATTTTATTCTATTTTTGGAAAATTATTCTTTCCTAAATTATAAAAACCTAAACTTATGAAATAAAGAAAATCCCTTAAATATATGACCTAAAATTTATACAATCCTTCTCATAATTTTATGTCATATATATTTTTTTTATATAAGAAATAATTTCGGAAGGAAAAATTTTCCAAATATGGAAGAAAACTTTATGTATAAAAAATATTTGAAATTTTGATACATATATTTATGATAAGTATATTTAATATTTGTATTTTTGGTTATTATTATTTTTAGTTTTGTTATTTTTAATTAATTGCATATGTTTTTAATTAATTGTATAATATATATATATATATATATATATATGTATGTTCTGTTTGTAATAATATTAAAATATTCTCGTAGTTCAATGTTTGAGTGTCTCTTATTAGTGTAATAGGTCAGCAGTTCGAATCTTTGAAGATGCCATTTTTTCTTCTTATTTTCTGGTGAAACGACGTCGTTTGAAAACTTCAAAACGACGTCGTTTTGATCTAACTGAGACTTCTAACGGATTGTTAACAGCATTAGCGTCATTTTAACGGGGACTTAACGTGATGCCTAATTTGGCCAGGTCAACGAAAACTTAGCTATTTTCAGACAGGTCAACATAAACTTTGTGATTAAAAAGACATTTCGAGAGTTTATGCTTTAATCGTCCCAAATTTGAAAGTTGGCGCATTTTTCGACATTTTTCCCGTTTTAAAATACCAATATTTTGCTAAAAGATCCTCCCAACATATCTACTATACATTTTTGCAACAGTTTTTGGGGTCCCCAATCGGGTCAAAATTATGACCCGGAAATCTTCTCAATTTGACCCGCAATCTTGACATTCGGATCTTGCCTAATTTGATAGTTTGCTCCGATTTTTATTCACCAAATCTTTCCTTAGTTGCTGCGACCTACATTCAAGGCTTAAATGATTAAGTTTCTAAAATGAATCTCATTTAAAGATACACAAAATATTTGCAGTTATAACAATACTTAAGCAGAAATTGGCAAGATATATACTCTTGCCTATTAAAACGTAAGAGTTATTATTCCATTAATCTATTCTTTCTATCAACTAAAAGAATCATAGTCTCAACTTATCGACTTGGAAATTAGTTAATACCTAGAAGATTTTATCCTTATTCTCTTAACAATCAACCTAGCATATTCTCTGTTATTCCAATTACTAAGATCCCAAAATATATTCAATCCTTGCTCATCAAGATTTTTTCTATTATTCACCTAAACCTAATACATCCTACCAATTTAAACTATACTAGGATATGACCCGCGGTACACCGCGGGTTAATTATTTGATTTTTTAATTTTTTATAAATTGAAGAATTTGTTGTGTATTTTATTTTTTGTTGTATACCGCGGATCAGTTTTTTGTAACTAATTTTAAAAATTTTAAGTTGTATTTATTTCTTTAGTATATAAGATTGTATAATTGTATTTGAATGTTAATTGTAGGATTTCACCCGTGGTATACCGTCTCGTATTAATATCGACCTAAACTCGTCCCATCATATAAAAAATATTTAATCGCGGTGTACAGCGGGTCAAATATGATGATATAGTGCAAATATAACAAATTTGGGTTAATTTTTTTAAATCTATCTACCTAATTTAAACATAAATATAGGATGTTCATTTTATATGACCGAAAGATGTTATTTTGAATTATTATAAAATACATATAGTTAAAAATCCTAATTTTAAAATTTTTATGATTACGTTATTTTGATAAATTATAACATCGTCCGGTCATATAACTTCTCCTACAATAGTATAAATTTTTTATATGAATAATGAAAAGAATAAAACCTGAGAATTGAAAAACGAATGATAAATAGTTTACTCTTATTGTCTTATGGAAGAAAAAAAAGAATAAAACCTGAGAATTGAAAAACTATAATTTATTTCCCTAAATCTTAAAATTCACTTTCCATTTTCTTAATATATCAAATAACCCCCTGCTATGCTTCTATCAAATAACCGGTTAACTATCAAACCTCATGAGACTCGCGTATCTCTTCAAATTCGGCAATGTTTATTTGGACACAGACATGATTGTTTTTTCTTCGTTTGTAATTAACAATGAAACCTTCCACTAAGATTCTTTTTTTTTTCAATTGAAACCCTAATTAAACCAATTTGTATAAAAATCCCATCAGGATTGTTTGGGTTGATAATAATTAACCAATAAAGATTAGTCCAGGCCCATATAAGTTGTCACGTCATCAATTACAATTACGTTTTTCTTCCCATAGCCCATTTGGTAAGATACGGTTCAAGCTGAAATCGAAACTCGAACCGGACTGTGATGGTGGTTTCCGATGGCGGCGAGCGAGTGAAGCTTAACGTTGGCGGCGAAGTCTTCGAAACCAACGCGTCTACAATTCAGTCATGTTGCCCAAACTCTCTTCTTGCGGCTCTATCGACTCCAACCTCCCATGGCTCAAATCCGGTTTTCATCGATCATGACCCGGATACTTTCGCCGTCATTCTCAATCTCCTCCGTACTGGTCGACTCCGAGCTAATTCCTCCGGCGTTTTCTCCAAGCAAGAGCTACACGATGAGGCTATGTATTACGGCGTCGAATCACTCCTCAGATTGGCGATGTTACCGCCGTTGCTGCTAGGTTTTGATATGTATCTGTTTCGATGGAGGCGGTGATAGCGTACAGAGAAGTTGTGAAATAGATGGAGGCTTACCAAGCAATCAGCAAGAGTTTCCAAGCCGATATGGCGATATGGATCCGTTTCAATGGAGGCGGTGATTGCGTCAATAACTTGTGTTAGGAATTACACCCGCGAACCAAACCTCACGGTAACAGGTAACAATTGGCTTCTGTTCTCTAATTAGATTATAGATTTCTCGAGTACCTTACATGTCTCTTTTCCAGTTATTTGGCCACCAATCATACTTATCCCGATTTTCTGTGATTTGAAGAGTAGAAAGTAAAGATTGAACCATGACTTGTGATATAAAGAAAGCTAAGAATCAGAACAACCATCTTTTTCTTCAAGTCTGTTATATATTTAACTAAATAGTCTCACATATACTGAGACTTACAAATCAATTTTTACATATTGTTGTTGAAATCCTCCATAGATTCAAAGTAAATAAGGAATTTGGTTAAACTAACTCTCATTAGTCATAATCATAAAAGTCAATACACTACTGTAAGTGTAAGTTAAGCACATCCCTGTAGATCTATTTCTAAACAGAATGTTCACGTTTTTCATTCAACAGAAAGAAGAAGTTCAACATCTTGATCACAGTGGAGGGCTCTTACAGTATGAAACCTTGGTTTACATCTGCAGGTTAGTTCTTTCAGAATACTTAGTGTTAGGAGAAATATTCACATTGACATATGTTATTGAGAAAAGCAAAATAGAAACTTTTAAAAGTTGTAAACACACAGTTTATTCAATAACCAATTGGAAAAGCTGGAAAACCAAACTTGAAGCAAACACGTAAATCATTGCAAAAACCATAATATTAAAACAACAATAAGTAATCAAAATAAAAGAACATGGATCAAAGCAACTGAAAACCAAATTAAAACTCCAAACCACAGTAGCAATTCAATCTTTTTACTCAATCTTGACTTTAAGACTAAAAACCATCAACAGGTCTTGTATATTGGCGCCACAAGTGGAACACCTTCAACAGATGATGCAGCCATTGTTGCTGGTAAGGTTTCTGAACTTGTAATATATTGCAATATGGTGATGAGAAAGAATGTGTTTAGAGAGTGGAAAATGAACGACTATTTATAGAGTTTGGATAGCTAGTATGTTATAGGGTTTAGAGAATATTTAAAAATCTTGATGAGCAAGCATTTCGTATAATTCAAAATCTTTTAAGTTGGGAAATACAGAGAATATGCTAGGTTGATGCTTAAACAAATTACGATAAAATCTTTTGGTTATGAAGCAATTTCCTTTTCGATAAAGTGAAATGAATATCGAATTATATGTAGGAAACAAATGATAAATGTAGCATTAAAATAGGAAACAGTTTGCCTTACGAAAATCAATTTGTTATAACTACATATACTCTCCATATCTTGAAAAAATCAGAGAGTAAATGTCTATTGGATTTAATGTAAGGAGTATTGATTAAGGAATGATCCGAGTCAAATATTTCGGGTAAAATAATCAAAATTGGAAGGATCCGAGAGTCATTAATTCCGGGTCGAAATCATTAAATTTCCGGGTCAAAATTAAACAAATTTTGACCCGATTGGGGACCCCAAAAACTGCTGCAAAAATGTATAGTAGATAAATAGCCGCTCATTTCTTCATTTCTATTCACAGTATCTATCATTTCCCATTTGCAATATCAAAGAAAATACTCTACACTTACCAGCACTAATGGCCTCACAATTTGCTCTGTTGAGAGATGTAAGACCTTACAAAACCTCTTGGCGTGTGCAGGTGAAGGTTCTCGATTCTTAGCGCCAATATACCAACAACACTGGTGAAACCCTTGAAGTAGTCTTGACTGATTCACAAGCTTATCAAAATAGGTATGTTTAGTTTAACTTTTTCATTTTATATTTGCTTTATGGTAAGCAAAACCCACAGTCAATCAAGCAGATATTTGACTTACAATCTACTTACATTTTTTCCATATTCAATGCTTAATCTTTCTAAAGTAAGCAACACCTAAGCCGTTCAACTTGCAGTTAATGGGTAATAAAAAAAAAGGTATGTTTAGTTTACCTTTTTTTTCTGTACAAATTTGCTTTATGGTTAGCAAAACCCACAATCAATCAGAAATGATATTTGACTAACAATCTAATTACTATTTTTTTTTTCCAGATTCAATGCTCTAGCTTTTCAAAGAAAGGAACAATTAAGCAGCATAATTGCCATTGTATTGGTACTCTTTATTTTACTTGCGTATACACTCATACTTTCATTATATTTGGGACACTAATTTTGTTTTGATCTATTCAATTTATGTATCAACAATCATCAGCATCTAATTCATTCATTTTCTAAGCTCTTAGTAAAAAAAGTCTTACCTTCTCTTCTTTTTGTGACTGTTATTCGATGTAGAGTGACTTGCCCAAGCTTGAATATATCCATCTACTATGCTTCATCCTATCAAAATGAGCTTATATGATAAGCAAAACATATCATTTGTTAGCTAAAGCAACTTTATAGATGCGAGACATTGGAAATGACAGAGAATTACAAACACACTTGATATAACTTTGTTTCATATTTAATATGATCAATCCTATATATCATTCGGAAATTCGGATACGGTTCCTATTTAAAACAATACTAAAGTGAACACAGAAAATCTTGATCCGATCTAAGTAATTCGAAATTGGAAATTAACAGTCATGAAATTGAATCTACTTACAAATTCATAGAACCGAGAGTAAATTTGAGGATTACCTTATGAGGTATGAATCAGCTATTCACATGTAGAACCGATTATGGTCAAATACTCTTCGAATTGAACGACAATCTGATTTTCAATTTCAGCTGTTCTATCGAAATTGGAAACGAAAGAAGCAGATGAGAACGGTATCGAAGATGATCTACAGTGTCGTCTGATTATATTTTTACAGATACATTTTCATCAAAAACAAGTTATGGAGTTGGGCTTGGGTAGCAACTAAAGAGTGGGCTGGGCAGAATGTTAATTGGGCTTTTAATCTAATTAACATTTTTCGTAAGACACAAGTTTTGATTTGCTAAGTAGATTCAAACCTATAAACTGATGCAAACTATTTGAATAAATAAGTTTGTTAGAGCATGATTATTGGTAGTATCTTAGAAATAAATCTTAGGAATATTGGTAATATATTTAAGTAGTATTTTTGGTTAAGATTTTTGTGTGATTAATGGTAGGTTCTTAACATGTGGTTCTTATAAAAAAAATATTAATATAAAAATAAAATTTATAATTATAGAAAATTTAATAATTGTTGCAAATTAAAAAAATTAAAACATACATAGATACAATTTATAACATAAATAACATAAAGCACAAAAAAAAAAATTCTTATTTTGTTTGATTTTTTAACCAATCACAATGTGACACCTTGCAACATCTTAAGTTAAGAAAAACATCTTAACTTAGATACAAATCTTAACTTTAAGATGTTGGTTTGATTATTTTTAATCAACTTTAATCCTAAGATTTGTCTAAGATACTCAACATTTCAACCAATATTCATGCTCTTACTATACTATAAGCAAAACTCTATGTAATTTTGTAAAAGACAACATAACAATGTTATATATATTTTTTTAACAGCTATTTACAAACCGTAACTTTATAGAATATGTAAAATTTATAAAATAAATTCAAATGAAAATTAGAATATGATCACCCAGTACCAACGTTAACAAATTACACTGTTACTATAAAAGACAAATAATTTTTACGTAACTCATATAGAAGACAAACAAAAACTATACTTACTAATATCGTAAACTTACAACTCAATATAAATCATCACAACCGTTAGTAAATAAATTTCTATCAACCCAAACAACAACCTAAAATATAGACAACCAATACTTGAATTATTAAAAGAAAAATTAATAAAAATATTAAACCTGCGGTGTACCGCGAGTCATATCCTAGTGGAGTATTAAAATAACAATATTTTGCTAATAGATCTTCCCAACATATGGAGTATTAAAATAATAATATTTTGTGAAAAGATTCTCTTTTCCTAATTTCTTTTATAGATAAATCCCAAAATTTGATGCTACAAAAGTAAATATATTGTGATATATTTTGTTTATAGTAGATTTTAATCCACCTTGAATAATAGTTATTCATAAATATCCAAATACAACGTTATTTGAATCTACAAGTTTAAGTTTATTAAAATATTTGATATTTTTTATATATATTTAAGAAGATTAACTAGGCATTTTGATTAATTTCTAATTATGTAAATTAATCATAATCATATCAGGTTTTTGGATATGAATTCACTAATATGAACATAGTTTGGATTGGTTTTGGCCGTTTTTCCTACGAACATAATTATTTTGTTAATTTTACTTCTTCACATATAGATGAAGTGTGAATAAGCAACAAAAATCAATTCAATCTAGCGCACTTTAATAATGTCATATTCATCTTTTATATTAAAATCTGATTTCAAATATTTATAAAGGTATGATAACAAATTGTAAGACAATATTATTGAAAAAGACACATACTCACAAAGTTTAGAATATATCATGATTGATATTGAGTTTTATTGTTAATCAAAAACGGTAAGGATTTTTGAACGGGAAAAAGAACAATTAACAATTTTAGAATAGTATATAGAAAACGACAAACGAAATGAAAAAATAAAGCGGAACAAAGAGGTATTTTGCTAAATGAATGAAAAAACCGTTACCGCTTTGACTTAGTGTTATTATAGTCACTAGGTGAGTACCCGCACTTTATATTTCATAATTATATGTATATAAATGTAAACATTAGACCATGTACACTGGTGAATTTTGCCCAGTATCATTAGCCAAAAAAACTATTTTATAATGGACCAAACAACTTAATTGGGTCTGATACGTGCCCAGTACACTGGTGAATTTTGCCTTTGATACTCAGTTTCTTGTGACGTGTCGGTTTGCCATTGGTCCGTCTATTTTTTGGTTGAAACAGAGAAAAAAAAAATCTTTTCTCCAACTCTCTCTCGCCTCTTTCTCAACTCTCTCTCGAAAACCTAGCAGTCGGTTTCCGCCAAACGTCGACGCTCATCTCCGGCCACCGGGTTTGATTCCGAACCGACCCGTTAACCTGTTTCGTCAGAACGCTAACCCTAATCCTAATTTGATTCAACAAGCCAATAAATTTCAGCAACAACAACAGATGATGATGATGATGCAACAACAGCAGCAACAACAACAACAGCAGAAATTGATGCGTCCATCGAATCAATTGGAGATACAATTCGCTTACCAAGACGCTTGGCGTGTTTGTCATCCTGATTTCAAGCGACCTTTCGCTTCTCTCGAAGACGCTTGTGAAAGGTTCGTCTAATTCTGTTTTTTCCAGTTGATTTTTTTACAGAATTGAATTGATTTTATGGGTTGTTCTTGAAATCTCTGGGCTTATTGATTTCCTGAAATGGTTCTTTGAGTGAATTGATTCTCTGGTAGTCATTAGTTTTATAGATTCTATAGAGGAATATCCAACTCATAGTGTCTCTATCACCATTTTATCATAAAGGCCAATGTTGCGGTTAAGGCCACTAAGCCTTTGAAGAAAGGTATGAACTTTGGATTTGAAAATTTGTTATAAACTGAAGTGGTATCGTGAGAGACTTTTGGTGAAGCTTGATAGAATCATGTTTTGTTGTTTTTTTTGGTTGACAGAATCATGTTTTGTAATCTTAGACGATTTTTTTTTGTAACAGCGGCTGGCTTACAAGTTTGATGTTGTTTTGATTTGGGCATTGTGATGCAGTCTCCTGGGAAAGTACATTTGTTGTTGGAGTACTGCAAAGGAGGTCACTTGTCTGTGTATTTCCAAAGACATGGAATTGTCCCTGAAGCTAATGGAGATGAAACAGAGACTGGGAAAAATCGAAGAGCCAATAAAAGAGATTGTTTTGGAAACCAATAAACCTTCAAGGAAAGCTCCAACCAAAACCCAAGAAGATCAATCTACTAAATTCTCCCCAAAAGAAGAATCAAAACCAGAAAAAGAATATAAGGGCAATGTACAGAAACCAGCTGATGGACTTCATTGAGATCATTAGAAGGGAAACTTAAGTGGTAGATGAAGAAGGATGTACCCTTCTGTGAGTTATTATGCTTTTGGAACTAATACAGTAGTTGTTGCAATTCTCGGATTTTGCTTTTGGTTGTTGAATCACCTTTTGAATTAATATAGATCACAAGGATTTGCGTTTAAGCTACTAGAGCTACAGTAAGAAACAAAACTTGCTTCCATTTCTTCTATACGGCCGAACAAAACAAACACAACACCTCATGCTAATTGAAATTGGTTAAAAATGCTACTTTGTTGTCCAAACATAGACATGTCCTCTTGTAATACTACCTAGTGTTTACGTTTTTTTTTTTTTATGGTGTTTACATATAACAAAACAACATCTAGTGTTTCCGTTTTTTTTTTGTAAGTATATTTTATGTTTTTATGGATTGTAATATTACCTTTTGTAATCCTATGTTTTTATATATTTATTTTCGATTTTGAAAATAAATTTTTTATTTATTAATGATACCGATACCGGTTTCACCACTAGAAACAGATTTATTACTAGTATCATAAACAATCTCATACAATAAACAAATATTAAAATTAATACTAAAAAATTGTTAATGATACTCTATGAGTACCAACTATGTGCATGCTCTTAGGTTAGTTTTTGTTAATAGGCAAGAAGACAAAATTTCCCTTATAAACGAGATTACCCTGATATTAAGCATATAAATCTACTTTTTTTTTGCAATTACATTTAGATTCCTAATAAAAAATGTTCTCACTACATATTATCTTTTTATAATATTATTTCATTACTGTTATCCTTAAACCAAAAGAAGAAGACAAAATGCAAAGAAGATTGGAGTACCCGCACTAAAATCAATGATTATAGTATTTAGGTATAAATGTTAAGCATTGATAATTGGGCTGTCGTTTCGTTTGAACAACGATGTTATTAGTTTATAGCAAATAAACAAATAGAACCAAACCTTGATAAGCCTTATTGATTTGTCGAAACATAAATGTAAAATAATTCTCGTCTTTAAATTTTTATCGTTGCCACTTTTGCAAAAACAACTAAAACAATACGAACTCCATCATTGAGGATTTTAGTCTAATAATTTGATGTTAGAGGTTCTGACGTTCTCCTCACCATTTTTAATATATTATATAGAAAAGTTTTTAAGAGAATAACCTACTCAAAAAATTCCAGAGTATCAAAAAAAAAATAATAATTAAATATAATTAGTATTAATACAATTAAATATGGTAATTTTTATAATATGTATAATTAAATAATATATGTTCCACTAACTTACATTAATTATTAGTGGACACATGTCAAATGCTAAAGTGATGATGTGTCACTCATATGGAGAGAGTTGACTCAGTCGCCGTGACCGCCGAACCGGAATTCTTCTCTTCCCCCCACGAGTTTTAGCCATCATCAGTCGGAATTTCAACAGAGGGAAGCGAGAGAGAGAGATTGGGATTCTAGGGTTAGAAAATGAAATCGATGTGTTTAAAATGGCGAGTCAAACAAACTACGTTAATTAATTGTAAAGTCAACAAAAACTTTATGATTTAAATGTCTTCATCGTAGTCCAAGATTAAATCGTCCCAAATTTGAAAGTTCATGATTTTTTTGACATTTTCCCCTATATGATTTGTCATTGTAAAACCAATATACTCCTTTGAGGTTAATGTTACCAATCAAAGCTAATGTTTTTGAATTTGGTTGGTATTCAATTGTAAATCATAATAGCAATGTATCACACACATGTGGAAAAAAAAATCTAGGGAATTGTGTCTAAAAACCATAGATGGTTTCCTTTTTTTCTTTTCATCTGAAATTTTATTAATAAACCAAGAAATGATACAAGATAAGATACATATGCCGGCGGACGACATGAATGTCTCCCGAAATATTAGCCCAAAAAAGGAAAACAAAACACTAAAGTACATAAAAACTGATTAAAAACAAACAACAAACATAGAAACAAAAATTAAAGAGGAAACAAACGTCATGGAGAAAAAACAATCTAACCACTATATTGAACAAAGACACGAGAGACTCTCACAAAGCTTCCCTATAGAACATGTAAACGCCAAAAGCACCAATAAGACCGGATAGACCTCATACTGAAGACAAATCAGAAGAAAACCGATAAGGAGAAAAGCAAGAACCCAATGCGACCAGAGACACAAATACAACCACCAACACACCTAGCAAATCAGAGAGAACAAGAAACATTAGGGTCAAGGCAAAACCGTGAATCGACCGGAGACAAACCACTAAAGCTCAACAACAGATGGTTTCATGATCTAAATTTTTAACAATGATGAAAGCCAAAAAGAAAAATAATAATAATAATAATAATAATAATGCATAAAAAAAGAAGAACAACAAAAAAGTATAACAAACAGAAACAGAAATAGAAAGCAAACACAAAACAGTAATCTCTCTACACTCTTTACTCCGTAAACCTACTTTTCTCTCTCTCTCTCTTGATGACAATGGGCGATTCTGATCTCCGTAAACCTACTAATTTCGGCACCGGACCTCTATCACGGCGACGATCATGGTGTTGCTCTTTCGCCGTACCTCCGGCGAGTCCTGATACTCTCTCAATTTCATCTCGTAACCACATTCCAGCTAAATCTCAGCAGCAGAGACCTAAACCGGTTCCTTGCTCACCGCAAAGCTCTAAATCTGCTTTAAACATTGTAAATCGAATCGACCCGCGTCGGATCTTATCACCGGGTCGGGTTTCACCCATCGATTCGGATCCCTCCGTCACTACAATGCAAGAGACCGAGACTGAGACCACTCACGAAGAAGAAGATGTGGTTGTTGTAGATTCACCACCAAATCTGCGTTCAGAGAGTTTTAGAGCTCCGAAGATTGAGGTTACTGTCTCAGGTTCGGGTTCGGGTTCGAGTGAGGGTTACGATGCTAGGTTGAGTTTGAAGGGAAGAAATGGTGGGGTTCTGGTGTTGGAGCTTAGCTCGGAGGTTTTGGCTGCGAATTCGGATGTGTTCGCGGGTTTGATTGCGGAGGACAAAAAGTGTTCATCTTCATCTTTAGGATTGAAGAACACATGCAGGATTGAAGTTTGTGATGTGGAGAATCTTGGTGTTTTTAGGGAAACTGTTGAGCTTATGTTTGAGGAAAGTAATGGGATTCTCAAGAAGTTTATGAAAATGGGTGTCTACAGAGCCATTGATGTACTCGAGGTTTGGGAATTGCTCTTCCTTTTTATTGAATTGAGATGGATATTGAATAAGATTTAGAATTGAGATGTACTCGAGCCATAGATGCCTTAGTTAAGATTTAGCTTTTTTTGCCTAGTAGGCCAAAACCCTTGAGCCTTTAGATGGATAGATATGGAAAGACCAACTATTTGAATTTTTTTGGCCTTGAGGTTTTGGGAAATAGGTGCTTATTTTAACTTTACCCTGCCATTTCTGTGAAATATTTTTGAGACATTCTTATGATCTTGTGGAGGCCCCAAGAAATGTTTGTGAATGTTGCTACAGGATTTTTTTTTCTACCAAGATACTTTTTGCATGTGTTTGTTGACATATCTGGTTTTTTATACATCTTGTATTTGTTGTCTTGAGTGTGAACACCGTTGTGTGGAACTTTTATCTTTGTTCTGCTCTGCATGTTAGATTGATACTCATTGTTTTCCATAGACAAAGCGTTGTGACTGGTGAAGCTAACATATCTTCTTAACCACAAACAGGTGGCGGCTGGAATAAAATTTTCAAGAGCTGTCTTGTCGTGTCTGAAATATCTTGAAGCTGTTCCTTGGACAGAGGACGAAGAGGAAAAACTGAGGAGACTTCTTGGAATTTATAACTTTGATGCTGCTGCAATTAGCGAAATTTTGGCAAGATTTCATTCAAACGAGACAGAAAACTCACAAGACAGCTTATCAAAGAAACTTGTTTGGTCAATAACCTCCTGCAGTGATGTAAATCCTAGAAACGAGCTCAAATCTTTGGTGAAGGGTCTTCTTTGCAAAAGCTCAGTGTACGAGAAAGAACAGCCTGAGATCAATAAGGAAGACATATACAGAGCAGGCAAGTGTTGTGTGGATTCATTAGCTAAGCTGTTTGAAGAGGGCAGTAGTAGTTGTAGTAGCAAGAAAGAAAAGCCATTGATTGAAAGTATTTCGAGGGAGGTTGAGAACATAAACTGGCTGTTGGAAATCATGATAGATCGGGAAATAGCAGAGGAATTTGTGGAGATATGGGGAAAGCAAAGAAGGCTAGTGGAGATGCATGAGAGGGTGTCACCAATGGTGAGGTATGAAGTAAGCAGAGTAACAGGGGCAATTTTCATAGCAATGGGGAAAAGGAGAGTGCAATGCGGAGGAGAAGCAAGGTCGGGTTTAGTAGAAGCGTGGTTCAAGCCAATGTTAGTAGATTTTGGGTGGCTACAAAGATGCAAGAAGGGACTAGACATGAGGGAAGTAGAGGAAGGGATGGGGCAAATGCTGTTAACGCTACCAGTAAAGCAGCAGTATCAGGTGTTCATGGAATGGTTCAGGTGGTTCTCAAAGCATGGGACTGAGTGCCCTAATCTCAGCAAGGCGTTTCAGATATGGTGGCGTAGGTCATTCCTTAGAGGTGTAGAATCATCTACTTGTAGGTAAACAAATTATTCCAAGTTCAAGAGGCTATGTATGTTAGGTGTTAGCTTTTTATGGAATTTAGACTGTAATGTAACTCTCCTGCTGACTTCTCTTCTTTTGTCTCCTCCCACATGATATGTTCTTATCGGATGCTTTTTGGAGCTAAGTTAGTCTTAAGGTTTGAAAAAAGCAACAAGTTAAAAACACAAAATGGTACTTTCTTTCTATCGGCCATTACTATATTTGTGAGCAATTGTTTATGATTTTAGTAGCTTCAATACTATTAAACACCATAAAACACAGTTCATATCTTTTGATTCCATAGTACTCTTTTGACAGCAATTGATGAGGAATGAGGAAACTGAGAATACCAAAACAATGCAAGAAAATTCCTTTTGTTACATAACCTCAACTATTTATAATAGAAATTTTTCACTTAAATCTATCCGTATGTTTCTCAGATATACATATATGTTTTCACTTAAAAACAGAGGGATACAAACAAAAGAATGGAAGCAAGAATTGTGGAAAAAAGTTTTAAGAGTGCTAT